AAAAAAAAAAAGCAAAAAACCAAAAACCTCTTCCTCCCGCTATACGACCTCTCAGAAGCATTCTGCCTGTTCTTGCCCAGTAGTTCTTCTTCCAGCATAGTAGTTTCCTTCCACGCCTACAAAGACTAGAGGGGACCCTTCTACAGATGTTTTGATCTTTCTCATGGTATAGTGTCCTCCTTTTGTTACTCTGCTTTTCAAATTTGAGTCACCTTGGCTTCCTGAAACTCTGTCTTCTTGATTCAGCAAGGGCTCTGTTTGGGTTCCCCACCCTACCCTATGGCCTGGACACGTTCTCACTTTTTTTCCCTTTCTCTCAGGGATCACTGACTTCCACTACCTATTGTCTAAATGTGTGAAAATCTTTGGTTTATGTATTTTTGTTTGGCATACTAGTTGTTTAAGGAAAAAAGGTAAACAAGTCTCTGTTATTCCATTATCACCAGTTTATGCCTTCAAAAAAATCCCTATAGTATTAGGAACTTTTTGTTTTGTTTTGTTTTGTTTTTTTGAGACAGAGTCTCACTCTGTCACCCTGGGTACAGCGCCATGGCGTTATAGCTTACAGCAACCTCAAACTTGTGGGTAAGCAATTCTTTTGCCTCAGCCTCCCAAGTAGCTGGGACTACAGGGAGGGCCCACTACAATGCTTGGCTATTTTTTTGAGATGGAGTCTTGCTCTTGCTCGGGCTGGTCTCCAACCTTTGAACTCAGGGCAGTCTACCCGCCTTAGCCTCCCAAGTGCTGAGATTACAGGGATAAGCTACCACACCTGACATTAGGAACTACTGTTAATGTTAAAAGTTTCAAGGATTCCTACACAATAGTAGTTTTACTTTTTATTTATTCCATGTACAATTTTTGGTATGTATTTGCATTCTTTGTGTAAAAAATCCATTGCCTGTCAAAGGACTGTGGTGCATGAATAAAGAACCACTGGTGGAGGGCTAGGCCAACAGACTTGGAAAGTCTCACTCTCTTACTCTCTATACCTAGGACCTATGCTCATCTTTTCTATATCCTTCCTAAGAATTCATATTTTCCCCTGAAACTGACACTAGGAGAAACCTTATTCTTTGGCCAAATTCAATAAGGTAATCATCCAAAATGTAAAGACTTGGTTTGAGCATTCATATATCATGTACAACCCAAATGAATCCCAAGATGCTATGTGACCCAGTTTGCCATTGTATCCTATTCAGCAATATAAGACTCAGCAACCAAAAACAATTAAAAAGTAACCCCTTGGCTTGGCACCTGTAGCTCAAGCACCTAGGGCGCCCACCACATGCACCAGGGCTGGCGGGTTCAAATCCAGCCTGGGCCCGCTAAACAACAATGACAACTACAACCAAAAAATAGCCAGGGGTTGTGGTGGGCACCTGTAGTTCCAGCTACTTGGGAGGCTGAGGCAAGAGAATCACCTAAACCCAGGAGTTGGAGGTTGCTGTGAGCTGCAACACCGGCACTCTACCAAGGGCAATAAAGTGAGACTCTGTCTCAAAAAAAAAAAAAAA